GGGGAACACGGAGGAGCCGGAGAAGGTTAAGAAGAAGCGTCTGACTCCGCTGACATCAGGAGGAGGACGAGTGGGAGGAGCCCAGGGGGCCCGGCCAGCTCACACAGTGTCCCTCCCCCGGCCAGTCCGGCTCGCCGGCGGCACTGGACACAGACGCCCCGAACCCTAAACCCCAGCAGCAGGAGCAGCCAGTCGCCGGGGGACAGGCCTTGACCAGAGCGCCTTGAAAACCAACCCCCAGCGCGCATGGGAACGTGCAAACTCCACACAGACAGGTGCCCTCAGTGGGATCTGAACTCGGGATGCAGAGTGGAAAGACGGCCCAGCAGTTACTTACAGTCCAGACTAGGCAGCCCATCCAAGAGCTCAGAGGTGCCATTTGTTAACATCCCAGGACAGGGAGGAAGGAGAAAGAGGAGGATTCACTAATGAATCAATTAGCCTTCCCTCTGGTCTGGCCACTAAAGAGCTGCTTGCTACACACTGCAGGACAGGTTGTAGTCTGGTTTCATAAAAGGCAAAGGCCCCTGATAAACTACATTAACATTTGCGACAGGCGGTTCATCTCTGAGGCACGATGGAGATCAATTCAAACTCCCCACCAGCAATGACAGGGTGTTAAAAACAGGGCGGTTCGTGGGAAAATGGACACGTTTCCCTCCCTCCTCCAGAAGCCCGTTCGTGAAAGAGCTCTTAATGCTGGATTAGTGCTCTGAAACTCCAGGGCACCAGGTGTGTTGGCTGCCTGACCTGCTCCCAGGCGCGTCAGTATCTGGAAAAGGTGTTTGACTTTACCCCAGCGATCAGCGGCGATTAAAAAAAAATCACCCAGTGACATAATTCAATTATGAAGTTATATTCTGAAGTTATAAAGCCATCTAAATTGATAACGGAGCATTCAAGGTGGTTTGCGTGCTCATTTCGTGCGTCCACGTAGCAGCCCGTTTCTGAACCCGAGCGGCGAGCGGGCGTGACGCTGGATTTACCCAAGAGCTCAGCCCAGTGTCCACCCCGTACTGGAGAAATAATAAAGACCGCAAGACTGCGGGGGCAGACGGGTCGGCTCCTGAACCCCCTCACGGGTACACAAACATTCAAAAGAGAGACCAGATCGAAACGGACAGATATTTGACTCTCCCCGTTAGCCTCGATCTGGCCAGCGCTCCGAGTAACATTTTCCCGGAGACAAAAAACAAACCAAACAGAACAGCCAGACCTTCAGTACAACGCCAGGCGAACACTTGACATTTCTCAGCTCATATCCTGTTCTGTAGGCGACGCATTGTGCCTTATGCTTTTTTAAATTAATAATTGTTTAATCAATCATTAAAATTAGAACGACTGTATCTACATAAAACGTAATCGAAAAGTAGAAAGCTGGGGAGGCACCATTCTGTCACTTCCCCCAAGCTTGAGGACTGACAGACACAACGCTGAGGAGTTCTTTCCTTCTTTGCGAGGCCAGTTCGTGGACTTACCTGGCGGAAAGCGCGCAGGTGAGCTCAGGTGTCCCAGCGCGCAGGCGAGCGGCTCCGAGCGCCGGCAGCCGGGGACGACTAGCGGCACGCGCCACCTGTGGCTCCGGCTTGTACACGTCGCGCTCGCGGCTGGCCAATCAGGCGGCCCCGCTCGTGCAGGCGTCGGCGGCGCGCGGGGGCTGCTGCGTCACCGCGGGCGCGAGGAGGAAATGAAGGACACCTGAAGACTTCACGGCCGAAACGTTGCGTTTTCGCTCTTCTCTTTTCAGCGGGGAATAAACCTCACTTGTTCCTGTGCAGACTACGCGTGCTGACGCAGCTCCCCACCTGCACTGCGGAAATAAAGGGCAATCCTTTTTTGTTTTGCTATTTTAAAGTGTTATTTGAAACCTTTAGGCAAAGTGTAGGTGGAGAGCAGGAGTTCCGACCTGAAATCGACGCATCCTGGCACGTTTCAAGGCCTAAAACTTCAAAGTGAAATAAAAAAAAGCAAAACAAAAACAGCTTCTCCCGCAAACCCAGTCCACAGTCCACGACACGCGTGCTCGGCGGAGGGTGCCGGAGTATAGGCGCGCGGGTGGGTGGGTGGGTGCTCCAGACAGACCGGCAGGGCGGCGCAAGGCGAGACGAGAGGAGGTCACGGCCGCAGGGCTGGGGAAGGCGCACAGCTCCTCTTCCTCCTGCTCTGCTGGGTCTTGCCTGTCTGCGGGCCAGGAGCAAGCAGGAGGACAGAGGGGGGGGCATCTCCCTCCACGCTCACCCGGCCTTTAAAAACCAGCAGGGCTTTGCGATCGCACAGTATTTGCATAGAAAAATTGTTTGTTTTTCTCCATTTGCCTTTCTGTTGCCACAAGTCGGGGTATTTTGCATTTCCAACTTGATTTCAATAGCCGTCCTTCCAGTTATATTGCTATTCTATTTGCATTGCGGTCATTTTCACGAACACAGGGCGTTTCTTGTTCTGTAGTGGATCACGGGTTTCGTTCGAGCTCAGTTAAGGCGAAGGACGGGCTTATACTGGGATCGGATCGAAGAAACGCGCAAGAGCAGTCCTGTCTTCCGGACCGCAGGAAATAAGCTGGAGCGAAAAACTTATCAAAAATATAAAAAGGCAACGTAAAAGGTAAAAAAAAAAACTGAGATGAAGCCCTCAATTAAAGACCTGCCTTATTTATCTGATGTAAGGGGCTATGAACACTGCTGGACTGCATCTCTGCCTCTCCAGAGCTGGACGGAGAAACCTAGATAGAGCACCCCACCCCGCCAGCACCCCACCGCTGCTGTGGGACAGGCTGGAGGCCCAGGAGATAAGGATTTGCTTCTTTACACAAAGGGTGGTGGGGGTGTGGAACAAGCTACCCGGCGGTGTCGTTGAAGGCAATATCCTGTCTTCTTACGAGACACAGCTGGATGAGAACTTCATCAAATTAGCTGCTAACCACCGAACGGGCTGCACAAGCCAACTTGCCTCTGGAGTGTAAGCATGCTGATGTGGTTAAACCTCAGTGTGCCAGATGCCTGGTCACTGCGCCAGAGCTATTAAATGTTTCTTCAAACATCCAACATATATGCAAGATTTGCCTTGTACATATACATTTCTATATACTGTAGACTTTATATATACACACAGCTTAAACACCGGACATCTAAAAACAGGCAAAACACTGAAAAGTGCAGAACAGAACAAAATATTTTAAACCATTTGCAGTGCAGACGTCCTACTCAACTGTGCAGCTGACACAGGGTTGATGGTCACTCCTACTAAACTTTGAAGACAGAGGAACAGCAAATTCAGCACAATACAGTATTCCAGCAGCCCAGCGATAAGGGCTCCAGACGTCACTTACCAACCGATAATGACTCTTATTCTGCCACGGTCGTCCTGATGCTAAGAATCATGAAATAGAGGGGGGGGTGACTCCCAAGGCAAAAAGAAAAATACAGACAAACAAAAATCAATTTACAAGTCAATTTTCATTTAATCTCCATATTAAATAGACATAGTGTTTTTCATTATAAACATTTCATTGAATTACACTATGCATGATCATCAACGTGAAGTAAAAATATTACAATTTTTAAAAATGTACACTTTTTAAGGACAGGATGACCTGAAGTTTTCTTTTCTGTTTGTTTAATTTAATTTTAGCTTTTTTTTTTAAATCGTGATATGCTGCCTTTATGTAGCTATTAAATTACAAAATGAAAACCTCATACCTAGGACTTGGTTACATCATTCCCCATTTACAGACAAAATTATAACATTTATATACATCAGTACCATTCAACATTAAGTTACACTTCTCAAATGTGCAAGATTAAGCAAATGTTTGTAGAATAAAACATCAGAATTCTTTAAAATAAAATTTCAAGTTTATCTGTAGCACAGGCTCCTGATATTACAAATATTAACCTTTTTAAATACAGTAACTACTGTACTTGAATAAAAAGGGCACCTACTAACAACATATCCGAAACAACTGGTATTTAAATTTGGAAAAGCGTTCACCATTTATAAAATAATCTTTGGGATTCCTGCACCTGTTAACCACTTGAAAGCTATTGTCTTAAACTAAGACATCTCCATCTTTAACCAGTTAAGTCTGGAAGAACTTTTTGAATTCTTTATATCAATTTATTTTTTTTATTATTGTATACTACTTTATACAAAGCCTGAAAAGAGCACAATTTTCGTGGGTCTCAGTAATGCTTCTGGGTTCCAGTTGGATTTGTTTCTAATAGGGTTATATTTCTCAGCTGCTGCACTCCAAACACGCAATGAATCAGACAGACATCTGGCACTTTGTCAAATTTAACTAGATTGAAGTGTCAAAATCTGACTGACTTCTTAAATTCTGAGTTTTGCAAATTCAGTCTACGGGCTAACCGTTCCACTGACAAAGAGAATATCTAAAAAAGGAAAAGTCTTATTCTTCCATTTTCCAGTGGTCACCTGAACCCAAGCTCATAACCTTTTATGCGTCTATGAAACCTGAAATGTAGTGCATTACATGCAAACGCAAGGGGATCACAGTCTTTATGATGCAGTTTCACTAAAAAAAAAACACCAAGCCTTTTCTCCACAGTTCTGTAGATCTCCGCTGTAGGAATAATAATGCACGAGGTCAGGGAGAGTATCATGTTATAGCTCATGTTCCTCCATGAATTACTGCATGTCGGCCTGACATACACAGAGACCATTGCACTGAGACTGGTTATTCCTATAAACTAGTAAAAACAAGGTTTTTCATTGCACTTCTGTTCTTGTAATACCAAGCTTATTTATACTACATTCTGGTATTCCTCAAGAAACTTCAGCTCTTTTAACAGACGGCAAACAGTAATTAAAACAACTCAAGTAAGGAGAGCAGCCAGCCTGCATAACAACAAACACGAACTGCCCCGCCTGTCTGTTCATTTGGTTTTTTAATGTTTGAACAGCAGAACACACATTGGTAGCTGTGGCTTTCTGTTTTAAAACAAATGATCAAGATTTTGCACTCTGAAGATCAAAATTATTATCAGCTGTACTCGCCCCCCCCCACACACACAAACAAATCCAAACTAAGATTTGCGTTCTTTTCTGAAGCAAACCAAAAAATTCTGAAAACAAAACGTAGTGCTAGCTTCCTTCCTCCTTTTAATACAACTCCTTCATTAAAAAGGAAACAAAGATTACCAGCCTTACAGCAAATACCTCCTCGCACATACAACAATGGTGAAACAAAGTGGATCCTTTGCTTTTGCACATGTTTAAACTGGCGATCTGTAAATTCAGCTCTTAGTGCAGTTCCAGCAAAGTGTTTTGGAATGTTTTATAGTCTAAGGACACAGACTATCTTTAATTTACATGCACTGGAGCAGGCATGTGCCTTTATCTGCTTTGTAGTGAAGAGAGACAAGAGTAAAGAAGTATAAGTTATGTTTTAAACAAACAAACCCTGGCTGCTGAAGCAGTATACAGCAGCCACCTAGGCCCTGTGCACACAGATCCTGACAGGCACCTCCAGCCCATGAACAGAAATTAGATTCTGTCTGCAACAGCTAACAGTGCCCTCAACCGCAGTGCACCAATCACTGGCCCGAACGCCAGATCGTTATCGCTATCGTCAGGGTTGCTATGGTTATCATGGGTTTGTGACAGTGCATGAAATGAGACATATTGCCACTTTCTCCAGAACACGGCAAACAACGAAACCCAAAATATGAGCAGATCTTGACTTGAAGAGACCCACATGTCCAGCCGTTTCCAAAACCAGCAGCGAGCACACAAAACCTAAGACTTTCTTCTTTTGTCAGCAGCACAGAAATCGCCTTGAAACTCATCTCTCTGGACGCCACACAAAGCTGCTGCCTTCTGCAGTGTGTAGGGCTCCCATGCAGGGGGCTGTGCTTCCCCTTATTGCTCAACAGTGGGGAAAGCTATGCCTGACGGTCCTCTGTGCAGTGCTGAAGATCCTGCAGGGAAATCCAGTGCATTACAAAATGCATAAAACAACGAGTCAGCCCCGTACTCAGACAACCAGAATGAAATGCAACTGCAGTGACTTAAAAGCAAACAGCACACAGTACGATTTCTTCTTGCCTGTACAGCTTCTTTAAGAAAATAATACTTTAAACTGTCATTTTTTTTTATCACACCGTGAAAACTCTCAGGCCTGCGCCTGGCCTGTCCAGTTCTTCAATAAATGCGGGGAGCGAGGGGTGTGGGGTTTGGGCGTTTCTCATGCCTGCTGCTCGGTGTTGACTTCAACCCCCTTCCGCTGCCCCTGAGACGGGGGCTGCCCAGCCGGAGCTGAACAGCAGCCCCCTCAGAGGTCTCAGCTGCCCTGCAGCAGTGCCCGTGCCCAGTGCAGCTCTGCCAGTGAAAGCAGGTGGAACAAGACCTCGCTTAGTCCTTCTCCCCATCCTCGCTGCTTCCTGGAAAGAGAAGAAAATGACAAAAGCAGTCAGAAGCACGTCGCCTGATGCTGCCTCTTATCAATGAATATTGAAGTGGACAGAGTATCAGTTAATTCTGACACGGCAGCACTAGCGTGGCACGGAACAATCTGTGCTGTTCTGGAAACGGCACCAAGGAGACGCACGCATCAGGACGCAGCAGCAGCTGGAGAAGGAGAAAAAAACATCCCTCCAAAGGACAAAAACAGATGCATCAAAACCACTCTCATCAGCCCTGACCTGTCCCTCTCCAGCACACCTGCACAGGTTCCTGGAGTTCCTGGACCTGCCCCCCTCACCCCCCCACTCCTTAACGCCCTTGATGTGTCAGGACCCTCCACTGCAGCCCTCTGCCAGGAAACAAACCCCTTCTCCGCCTGCTGCTGCCTGCATATCTAATCAGTCTGCGCTGGACTGCCACCGTAAATGTGGAAATGTGCAAATTAATTTCACATATCAAACTGGGACCCATTTTCTATTTGCTTTGCTTGCAGATAAACTCTCTTAGTGACATTTTCCTAAGAGAGCGCCATGTGTACTCTATACCTAGTGTATCACCTATACCCACATTCTGTCCTCTCCAGCTCACACACACACTGGAATGTGTGATTATCTTCAGGCAGACCTTGAACAGACCCTGATGCACAAACTGTAGATTTGCTATTTTTAACCCCACTGCCTTTTGAATTGCTCCTATAAAAACAAAGTTTTCTGTGAAGAAAGACAATTAATGGTCTAGCAGAATGGAGGCTCTGTGCTTCCTGTTGTTTGTTCCTGGAATTCTGCTAATACAGAGCTAAAAGAGAAGAATGTCCAAGCACTTTCAGGCACTGACAGCCCAGAGATGCTGGGCTTCACCATTACTTCACCTGTGACCAGGAATCCCCAGTCACAGAGCAGAGTGAGGTGGTCTCCACTGGTTTAGTGCGTTTCAGAAAGAGCTGCATCAGTGCTCTACCAGCCTTAACCCTGCTGTTTGGGTGGTGCGCTAGCCGAGTGCAGAGACGGTGCGCGTGGCCAGAGGCGTGCATATTCATTCCACTTCTCTCCCGCGACGGGGCAAAGGCTGCGAGCTGCGAGCTGCGTTAAAGAACACACTGAAGCTCTAACGTGAGGCCAGGGTGTTGAACGATTTGAGTAAAAACTAACTGCACCGTACACGCGCACGCAGACGGGATGACTCTGCCCCTGAAGTGCCCGTGCACCGGTGGGAGTCATGGGTTATTCTTCCCCTGACATCGATCCGTGCCCCGAGCGAGAAGATGCGGGAGTCGAGTTTTCCGCGCCTTTGGAGCATGCTCCGATTACAGACGCAGAGCCGGAGCCCATGTTCTGCTCTGCAGCTGCTCGGGGTTAGAAAGACCACCCCCTTTCCACGTCCACAGCTGGGACCTGTGCGACGTCAGAACTGGAAATAAAAAAGCTCCTCAGGCAGGACGTGGAGTATTAACATCAAAGCGGATTAGCCTAGGATAGCTCACAAGGTATCTTACTGCATTTAAAACAAACTCTGGGGCCGAGTCAAAAGATCTGCTTATCTTCTGCACCACAGAATAAAATTCAAGACTACAGCACAATGATACATTTTCACCCATCTGATAATCTTATCCCAGGAATATCACAAGGGGAGCCTTATTTTTACGGTATGTGCTATCTTTTCTGTTCCAGCTCATTAATCTCTTATTCACGGGGGATGAGCAAAGCAACTTTGTGGGCACAGGTTTTCCCACAAAGGGTTTCAATCACGTTAACCATGAGGAGACACTTGCAAGACCTGCTGAGGGCACCACCAATAAAACCAGAGACCGGCCAGAACAGGCCGTCAACAATGGTGGAAAACAGACTTAAGATCCAGCTCCAACAAAGCAAATAAAATCCCTAGAGCTCTACCTTGTTAACATCTGTTCATCTAAATGCACATCTGGGTGGAACAGAGTGTGCGTGATGGCGAGGTATGTAAAGAGAAGAAGCTGCTTCTTCCAAATGCAAGTGCTGTCCCATCAGATCTTACAATCACACAGCGTCCCCTGAGGGTGGCACTGCTGGGTACAGACAGCCAGAACCCTAAAGCCCAGCCGTATCACAACGGATCTCTAACAAAGCCTGATCACTGCTCAGGCTGGACTCTTGTCTTCTCTCTACTTCGGATCCAAGGAAAAAAAAAAAGTCCTGCTTCACAATAGCTTTATTTTTATCCACAACCTTTGTTCTGAGATGATGGACCTGCATCAAACCATGAGATTTCTCTCCTGTCTCTTTGCAGTGTCACCAGGCACTCAGCCAGCGCCTGGCAAGAAGGAGCAGATGTCCTCTGAATGTTTTTCAATGTGCCTCAGCTGTTTAAAAAAAACATTATAGTCCGCCGTACAGGCCATTAAACACTGACTCATGCAAAATCATAAAAAGGGGAAAAGGGACAAGTCACTCTTTCCATGAGCCCAGGGCTGCAGATGAAACTCAAACAAGCACAGCCTCCTGTGTCCTCATGGCAACAGAGCTGGGCCCTCAGGCGCGTCGCGGCTGCTCGGCAGGAGCTGTGGCCGATCGCAGGCTGGTGCAGCTCGCCGCTCGCCAGCCGGGCGGCCAGAGTCAACCTGCGGCCCCTCCAGACCAACCCCCACCACCAGCCAGCGGGCAGCGACAGGGAAAACACTACAAGACACCGCCTCCTGTAGGGCTGATGACGATTACTGCTGGGGGGTGTGTGTGTGTGAGAGGGGGACATCAAGACACAGCTCCCCAGGGCAGGAGGGCGAAGGCATTGCCTCTTGTGTATGAGAGCAGAACGTACTTCCTCTCTGGACAAACGCAAAGTGCAGTTTAGGGCAAAGGCCTGAGAAACCGCACTGCAGGCGGGCGTCTCTGGTGTCTATTACAACCGAACGGGACAACACGGCCCGGATGTCCCGGTCCCGGGCCCGGGAGGCGAGGTCGAGGGGCTTGCCTCCTTGCTCGATGTCCGAGTCGGTGAGGTGCGTGAGGGAGAAGCCGGCGAGGCTGGCGGGCGAGATGGAGAAGCGCGAGTAGGCGGAGGGGCTCGCCCAGCTGGGCTCGGCCGCGCGGGTGGGCGGCGGCGGGGAGAAGTAGCGGGACGAGGCCGCGGGAGAGGTCTTGGCGAGGATCAGGCGGCCGGCCGCGCCGGACATGAAGGAGGCCTCCGGGGAGGAGAAGTCATCGTCCCACTCGAAGCCGCCGCCTGCCGAGGTACAAAGCGGGCATGAGAAACCTGTCCTGCCGTGGAGCCTCACAGACGCAGCACACAACACTCCAATTCTTAAAGGGGAACTGAGGTCTGGGTTTCTCACACCGGTTATTAAATCCCGGTAACAAAATAAGAGTGTATCGCAAAATTTTACAAACTCCAAATGAGTCATAAAATCGTGACTCGTGTTGCAAGTCGCCATGTCGTATCAAAAATCTGGTATCGCCAAAGGCGAGAGTGAGAGCTCACAAGAATTGTGACGTGAAGCAGCCCTTCCTGCTCACTAGTCACTGCAATGACTGACATCAGTACAAGTGCAGGTTGTGCAGCAGACGGTTCACCACAAAAATGTTCCAACGTGACCTACAGGCAGAGTTAACAGGTAAGAAGTATTTGTTGGCAAAACCGTCTTGAAACCTTGAAGCAATATTGTTCTTGGGATTACAACAGATGTCTTCCCAAGCCTGCTTGTTTGCAGTGTAATAGGGCCGCAACACGCCACCGGAAATTCTGTTGCCTCGTTCTGAATCACGGATACTGAAGGCACCATGGCCCTGCCACACCTGGAAGTGAAGTCTGCTCTATTTTCTGATGTGAATTGGAGGTCGTACGCTTTACCGTGTGTTTTTCACTTTCGCGGCTGTTTGAAATGCACTCATCAACGCCAATTCTCTCTGTCCCTGAAAAATAAAATCGTCCCTGCAGCTCCCCTTTAAGTGAACCGTGGAATTGGTGGCACCTAGAAGGCACTTAACTCAGCTTTATTATAACATAAAGAGGCTGGATCTCAAAAAGCAATTGGCATATTTTGGGTTTAACTTAAGTTAAAAACCTAAGAAGGCCCAGGCCTTCAGAAGGCCCAGCCGAATCCCAAGGGGATTTCCCATGTGGAGGCAGTGCGTTGCTGCTGTGTACCCTCTTCGTCGGTGGAGCTCTCCGAGTTGGTGAACCTGTTCAGGTAGCTGGAGGAGGACACGGGGCTGCTGAACTCGGACACTCGGCTGTCGGGACGGGAGGAGGAGGGGTCCCCCAGCTCCTTGGTGGGGGTCTCCTGAAATGAGACGCGAGGTTTGAGCGGGCGAGCAGACCAAGGCATCACGTTGCAGATCCTTTTCCCGGGAACAGCCGGAACTCGGGAAAGCCAAGGCTTGACAAACCTTCAATCTCTAACACCTGTCTGATCAGCCCTGCTCAGGTCGTGCTCCTGTCGCCTCTCTGCCTTGGTTCGAAGCATGAAAACAAAACTGTACTTGAAATCCTGCGACAGCTTTATTCTGCCTTTCTGCAGCCCAGGAAATGTTGAGATTATGAACCTGCATCAAGCTTCGAGGTTTTTTGTACCTGTTCCTTTCAGAAGAATAAATTGAATCCTAAACATAAGCTCTTCTATTCTGACTCACAGCAGTAATAACCAAGTATTCCAAAATAGCCCTTGTTGCAACAAAAGAGCCTTTGTGTGCATGGCTGCGAGATACTACAGAGAATAAAAAGATTCAGGTCTTCACGTTGCAATAATATATGTTTGTAGCACACATCTCTATGTGGCCATAATACATGTTTTATCACACAGCAGGGCAGGAAACGTGAAGGACGCTGTCTATTGCTTCCTGGAGTACACAGCTCCAGACCCTGGAGAGATGATACCCTAAGCTTTATCTGCAGCTCAAAATATAACCCTTATGATTTAACTCCTTAATCTAAAATTCAGATTCAAACAAATCATAAATTTCACCCTGCATTGGCCTTTTTTCACACTGGTGTTACTAAGACTAGATCAGATACTTCAGTGGTATTAAGCACAGATAAAATAAACAGAAATGCTCATTGCGCATGTTTAGGTCTGGCGATTCCATTTTCCTTTGTTTTAAAATTCTTCATGGCTGTGCTCGATTTCCCGGAGACTGAGCACGAGCGTCTTTTGTTGTAATCCCCGTCTGTCAGCTCATACAAAGCTTTCAACCAAACAGCAATAACGATAAGTGTCATTAACAAAAGTGAAAAGAGCCTGGTACCTGGTCAAAGAGGTAAACTGTGACATCATCAAAGAAGGACACAGCCTTCCGCCGGAGCTCAGAGTCGCCCTCTGGTGGCGGGGGCCGGGCCCCGCAGGGGGAGGAACCCTTCAGCCGGCTCTTGAGGTTCATGGCCGAGGCGTCATTGTTGCTGATGATGATGGGCACAGGGTGCACGATGTCCTCCTCGCTGTCGGAGCTGGTGCTGTGCAGGTGGTACGCGCGCATGTCGTCGTCCGAGTCGTCGCTGTTCTCATCTTCCTCGTCCGCCTCCATGCCGTCCTCCAGCACCCCTGCCATGGTCAGGCTGTCCAGCTTGCCCAGGTACTTCCCTTCGATGTCGGGCTCCTTCAGCTTGTGCCCCTCGCCCTGGTGGGACAGTGACAGCTTCTCATGCAACATAGTGTCCCCTGTAGAGTGCAACTGTGATGCTGGGAAAGAGGCCTCTGCAAAATCAGGGGGCTCAGCAGCCCTGGGGGGGTCTGTGGACCCGGCAGGATCGACGCCTGCCGCGGACTCTGGACCAGAAAGAACCTCGAGATCAGGCCCTTCCAGTTCTTCGCTGCCGTCAATGGACACTGGCACTTCCCTGTCCCAGTCCTCTTCAGTGGTGAGCACCAGCTCTGGCAGGCTGTTCTGCCCGACTCTGTCCACAGGCCTGGGCTCCTCTGCTCGATCTTCCTGAGGCCTGTCCACGGCTGCTTCAGCTGCCCGCCCCTCCAGCAACGCCATCGCGAGCTCCCCTGCCTCTGCGGCAGCAGTGTCCAGACCCGGCGTGCACCTGGCACTGACGGCAATATCGGCATCCGAGGAATCGCAGACCTCATGGGTGCTGCTGCCACTGACTTCTTCCAGCTTCTTATCCGGCTCCGAATCGTTATCGGAGAAGTACGCCGAGTCACGGTAAGAGTTTTGGTTGGCACTGGAGAACAATTCCACACCGGGAGCTCTGGCGTCCTGCGGATGGGTGGCTGTGGCCTCTTCCTCCACACCCAGCATGGTCTCCACCTCCGAGATGATGATCTCCGGGGGCGGGAGGAGCACAGGGGCCGGTTCCTCGGAGATGCTTGGCACGTATTCCTCTGGGGAAGAATCTTTGACAGCAGACTGGGAACTCCACTCGGGAGACTCCAGATTCTCCGTTTCATAGCCACTGTCTGCGGTTTTATAAGGAGGCTGGAGCTTCTGAGGAGCAGTAGTATTCAGCGTTTCCGCTGGCCCTACCATCCCATGCATATCCAGTGAATCTAAAGAGTCTGGCGTTTCTGCCGAATGCTCGATGGTTAGCATAGTAGTTGACATACTATCCTCAAGGAGGCTATCTTGGCTTATCTGGTCCAGACAATGAGCAGATGTCGTATGTGATGACAAGTCATCGGAGATATCATTACTCTCAAAGTTGATCAGGGCTTCCTTCTGCTCAGAGTCATTAATAGGCTGTAGGCTGGAGGGTACATGCTGTTCATTACCTTGAATGTCTTTGACTGTGTTGCTTACAGAATCCTCATTGGCAAGGCCAATGTCCAAAGCAGCTTTCCTGTCACATGCAGAGGGACCTGAAAGACTGCCATGATTTGCAGGATCTTCGATCACCGCAAGAGGCTCGTCTTCTTCTGGAGCTCCTAAATCTTCTTCCAGGCTATGGGTTTTGGCAACATTGCACAAGATATTGTTAGTGGCACTTTCAGGGAACAGGGTAGGTTGGTGGTAAGTGGAAGGACTTGTGGGGACTTCAGCTCTCCTAGAGGTAGAGTCAAGACTAAATTCAGTCTCTGTTTCGGAGGAATTAAGTACAACACATTCTTCATTGGAAGAGCTACTTTTACACTGTAGATGGTCACTACAGCTTTCTCCTATAATCAGTGAACTTGAAGGCAACAATGTTTCTTTATTTCCTAAAGGCTGCAGAGGATCATTCACACCTGGGCTAAGAAAGTGCAACAGTTCCTTCTTGGAGGGTACAGAATCCCCTTCACACGTTGAGGGACTTTTTAGGTCAGCTTTCTCAGCTATTTCATCCTTGCCTGAAGACTTGATATCTAAACTATCCGCAGAAACCTCACTGAAGTTTGGTTCTGGAATGCCGTTGAGCTCAGCGTCTAAGAAACCAACACTCAAAGCCTTGGTGCCCCTTGACGAAGTCTCGCCATCCTTCATTAGGTTGTTCTCTTTGAGGAACAAGAAGTTGTCCGTCAGCTTCTCAACATTCAGTAATCGCACTGAGTCAGGGCTTTCCCTTGTGCTCTCCAAATAAACTGCTTCCTGGTCGTCTCCTAAAAAAGAACTCCCAAAGCTCTTCTCTGTGGTCTTGAGGTCAGACTCCGGACCCACTTCCAGTGACACCCCTTTCTGGAAGCGGTTCCCGTTGAGCTCAGGCAGCTCCAGGAAACTCCTGCTCCATGACCCAGAGTCCTCCAATTTGGTAGCACTCTCTCTGAAGATGTTTGTGTGATAGGGGCTCTCCAGATCGCTGGAGGACCCTGCCTGACTCTCGGGTAAATTTGAATCCTTGGAATCTATGCTGCGGTGAAAGAAGTCGACGTCCGTGCTAGACTCGTCCAAGCGGATGTCACGGAGCACCACGTACTGCTGGGACTGCCTGTCCTGGGGCAGCTCTCGGTCTGGGGCCTCTCGTGAGCCCAGGGGACCCTGGTTCTCGTCCACCTCCAGGCTGCCCTCCCCCTGCTCCTCCAGCTGGATGTAGTATTCGCTCCCCGTGGCCGTTTTGTGAGCATCAAAGACGGGAAGGACGCCGGGGACCCCAGCCGAAGGGGCCTGAGCCCCGCCGTCGGCGCCTCTCTGGGCTCCGGTCTGGAGAGCCGCGGGCTTCTCGTAGGGCGGCACGGGGAAGAACATGCTGTGGTAGTTGAGGGTGGTGTCGGCGCAGGACGGGCCGCGGTCGTTGTAGTGGTCGTGCTTGGCCGCCTCCCAGACGTACTCAAAGCTGAGGCCGCGGCTGGTCTCCGTCACCGTCAGAACCTCGTCCAGCTCGCGGCCCGGCCCGTCATCCACAAACTGCTCCAGGATGGGGAAGGACGAGTGGCTGACTGTGGTGGGGCGGGCGGAGGGGTTGGGCTTGAGTGCGTTCCACCGCTGCTCAAAGTCGTCCTCGGACTCCTTCTGGCCCTGCATGCGGAGGTAGGTGAGCAGCCGGTGCACTTCCTCGGTTGTGGCCCTCTTGTCAGGAGGAAGCCAGCAGAACTGCAACACCTCATACCTGTGGAGAGAGTTGAGAGTGGGAGGACTACACCGCCTCACAGCTTCACGCCCCAGTGAAAGTTGGGAGAGATGAGCACATGGGCTAACCAGTAACATTAATTTTAAGCATTGCCCATGAATCATTCGTCCATTTTCTAACAGCTTCACCCAATTCAGGGGAGCTGGAGCCTATCCCAGCATGCAGTGGGTGCAAGGCAGGGGTACACACTGGATGGGACACCAGTGCATCATAGGGCACTAACGAATCACTCCCTCCAATATTGTCACTTACTGACAATAAGAGCAAATGATGGATTTTTCTCATGAAGTATATATTCAAATATATAGATTAAGGACAGAATTTACATATTAAAGAAAATTAATGCTAGAAGCAGACACATTCTCTACAGCTATTTATTTTTTGGGATGTAGAATGTTGTCACAAGCGCAGACTTGCAAAAAACACAAACGAGAAAAGACCTTTGGCCTCTAATTTGGTAATCTGCCTTGTAACATGAACCCAATTTCACCTAGACAGTGGTGCCCCCACCCCCTCCCCCAGAATGTGTGAAGAAAAGAGATTTCTTTTAAAAAAAACAGAGCAGTGAATTAAAATTCAGGATACAGAATTCAAACAGGATACAGAAAACGATACTCTAAAATGCTTCATCTGCTAATGACGGCACATTCACACAATTATTGCAGCATTTGTCTTTGATTTTTTCATCACCCCCCCACCAACACACACACACTTTTGGCCAGAATAAATATTAGTACATCAGCGTGTACGAACACAGGAAAAACATTTTCCTCTTTCGTCACCAGGCAACCTTCGGATGTGTGATTCAGAGGAGGCTGAGGGCAGAGGGCAGTGATTTGACGTGGAGGATGGATTATAGGCAGACACACACACGGTCACCTGGCTGCGTGGTGGAGCTGTGCCTGCCAGTGTCTGTGCGGTGATTAGGAATGGGGACTTCTGCACACCCACATCTGCAGCCATCACCTGGAGATCTGCACTGATGGCGTGCGCCAGCTGTTAACACTCACATCTGCATCCGCACCCAATAACAGAGCATGAGGTGTGCGCACACACAACAACCCTTGCAGCCAGCAGGGTCTTAAGACACACACGGGTGTGCGCCTTTCCACTTAGTAACGCGGCCTTACCATCTGTCAGAATAAGGCAGCTCCAGCTGAGGCTTGAAGGGCTTGGTCTGCTGCTCTTTTATGACACGGATTAGCACCTCTCTGTCAGACAGGTGGGGGTAAGGCTGTGTGGCGTTCTCGAACAGCTCCCACAGTGTCACGCCCAGGGCCCTGGAATCACAGACACACCTCGGAATCACTCACTGACGCACCAACGTGCCTCTCCGGATGAAAAGGCGGCGTGGACTGGTTGTGCCATCCAGGACGACAATCCTGCAGCAGGCAGCCGGGAACCCGCAGAATACTGCGCCGCTGCAGCATGCAGGCACACTTAAGGTGTATCCAATTACAGCCCCGAACAAATACACCACGCAGATATAAAAAAAAAAAACATAAAAAATGACAGGGTCCTGGAATTCAATAAAGAAAAACAAAAAAACTCAAATCCAAACTTCACAGGTTTTCAAAACAAGAAAACACCAATAAGCCATACCAATACAAGCTTAATGATGATTAAGAGTAAACACCTAATTTATAAACGTACACACATACATTGGACATAAATAAAATGAAATACTGATTCTACATAATCAGTACTGTGCCTAAGCTATCTATCAAACTAAATGTCACAGGTTACACACATCAATTCCGGTACATCCTGGATGATAAAAAGGTCACTGCTTCTCAAATCTATCTGCAGCCCTACTACGACATTAAGGTGGACTGGCCCACAATCAGTTTAATTGTCTATCTTAACCATCTTATAGAACTGCCTTATGACAGCAGGCACATCAGTGTTTATACAGAGCTAAAATTACAGGCGGTGATATCATTTATTATCCTTGGCAAGACAGAAAAAAGCCAAACGGTTACTGTTTAGTTGCAGGCAGCAGTGTCAACAGATGGCCGTGTGCCAGCCAGCCATCTGGTGCCCTCGTTACTTGACCACAGGTCTTCCATAACTATTAACAGTTTCTCCCCGTTTCTGGGAAGGATAATGAACGTCATCCTCTTTGCTCGAGTGGCCGCTGTCTGCAGCGGCTGAGGGGTGACATCACCAGTGTGAGGGCCGAGGGCCGAGGGCTGCCTGTGAAGCACCGTGACACGACGTCACCCACAATGCAGCACCATGATGGAACTGGCAGACAAAGATGTCAGCTTTCAGCCCGATTTACCCCCATTTCACAAAGCCCACCTCACCAGCAGCTCTGGGCAGCATCTGAAGGGCGTCATATAGACAAAGATCTACGAGTTATATATTTCCTCTGCAGTAGGATGCACAACAGCTTATAATGGCAGCTGCTCCTCACAGCTTTGCAAAACAACATGTGCACCGCTTACTGTCAAATTGTCAAGAGAGTATCTACACTCGTAACAATGACCAAAAATAAAAGCGAAATTCTCTTTATTTCTTTTTCTTTATTAGCATTTCTGTTTTGAGGTCTGAAAGTTAAAAAAATAATGAAAGGTTCAACCACAGCGGCCATCCTGGGGATTCAAAGTGAAAATAAATGTCATATATTTGGGTGTAAAGAGGCTTGTTATAGTGTTCTTTGAAAAAAAGAAACATGTCAAACATTTTTTATTCATTCCGTTCAGGATGAATTAATAACACTCCATTAACCATCTTCCCCGCTGAGAAGTGTCCGACGTGGAGCTCCAGCACGGAGCAGCGCCAGATCCCCAGCGCACTGGGAGCAGAGCTGCAGGACCTACCACACGTTGCCGGGCTTGGTCTGGTCCGCTGTGACCACGCCTCCGTGAAGCTCAGCCACTAGCTCGGGGGCCATCCAGCGCAGAGGCACTGCCAGCTCCTCCTCGGTGCTGATGTAATCCTCCTGGGGAGGGCCAGAGCACACGGTCAGGCCCTGCGGCCACACACGGGACCCGCTGGTCAACCTGCTCCGCTTCGGGTCCGCTTCGGTGAAAGATATGACCATTTTATTTTTAATCCTATTTCATCTTTGGGGCGCACTGCCAATAAAACTGATACGAGACCAAATCTGTGATCATTAAGGAAAATTCTACACACACTTAGCTGCCTTGACTATAAACAGGGGCTTGTAAAACATTGGACTAGGTGGTTCTCGACTTATAAATTAGGACGACTCTAGACTCTTCTAGCTTTTAAATCGGCCGACTGACCAAAATAAAGCCCAAACCCGCACCAAACGAAAACTGCCTTCTACAGATCCCACCCTGGCAGTGATCCTAAACACCACTCTCTCGAAAAGCTATCAGAACCCTGCACTGCACTGCGTCTTTGCTAAGAAAAGTCACACGGCACCATCCTATTCCAGGTTGGGATCTATCAATTACGCAGAGTCTATTCACATGAGGAATTAGAGCGTAGGCCTGTTTTTTTGTGGTTTTACGAGCGCACAACCGAGGCACTCTTAAATACCGTGTATCACAATAAAAGCGATACAACAGTTCTCGCAGTTCTGCCGGGCAGAAGCCCCCGAGTCCCGAGTCCTGCGTCAGCAGCACCTGCAGGGCGTGCCGGGAGCTCATTCCTGTCGGCTCCACGCGGATCTCGGCAGCAGCTGCACTGGACAACAGCGCAGCCGGACACCTGCGGCTCTCCCAGAGAGCCAGGAGTGTCCCAAGCCACGCCACACACACTGGCACAGGGCACACTCGCTTTGGAGAGTGCACACAGGGACAAAATGAAGCAGTGCTCGTTCACCCACCCCCCAGTGCCATGTCAAAAACTGTCCTCCCCACAGGTACCACCCCCAACACACACACACACACACACACACCGCACAAACCAGACTGCCTACCTTGTACCTGGAGGGACCTATTCCATAATCGCCTACTTTGACTGTCAAATCCGTGGTGAGAAAGCAATTCCGCAGAGCCAGGTCACTGGGAGAAAAGGAAGAGGAACAAAAAAAAAGAAACAGGAGCTGAATGCCAGAGCAAGGGCGGCGCACAGGCAAGACAGTAATAAATAGACATGCTGAGTGGGAAAGTGGTGTCAGTAAAAGGCCGATCAATACCCTGGCTAATGCACCGGAGACGATCCCTCCGTTCCTGAGCACAGCGCTGCAATGCTGGGTTACCTGACTCCCCCTGCCTGCCCCCACAACCGCGTGCTCCTTGCACAAAGCACTTCGCTTTCCACGCAGCATGTCGCTGTGCGCAGGGGACGCAGAACATAACCTCGTGCCACCGGGCAACTGCGTCCCCTGTTGAGGTAGACTGGGTCTGTAGCAGGCAAAGATCAGGCTGGCAATTCCTACCCTAGCTAGCAAACTCCATTAATGTTTAAAGAAATATTAGAATTCCCTAAAAAAAAAAACAATAAAAATTCTAGGGAATACCTACCAAGATCTAAAGATTCAGGATTATTTGTTGTCAAAGAAGGCTCTGCTGCCCCTGTGTGGTGGCCTGTACGCACAGCATGACACCAGTGGAGCACAGGTCCCTACAGGACTGAGGTTAAGCTTTTGCAGTTCTTTTGATTCCTTAATCATTTATATTCGAGGCTTTCAGTCATGCTGCTGGGTTCAACAAACAAATAACTGGATGTATCAAACTCTTTAGGGTTCATTAACAATATACAGCTGAAGAATGCCCATGTGTTGGGGGGGGCAGATCCCTCAATGGGGGCCAAGTCCATTTTTGACAGGATGCAAATGTTAATTGTTTCTCTTCGACTCCTTACAGTGTCTGGCAAAACACCTAATCTATTAAAAAAAAAAGTGCTCTTCGTTCACGAGCACTGCTTTGTATGGATGCGCGTGTCGTGCGATCTATGAAACACACAGCGTGCACCTGCGCGAGGGGCAGACAGGACCGCGCACGGTGTCACGCACCCAGCAGGTCTGCTGGCTGGCATCTCTGCCAGTTACAGCTCAGTTCCTTTAAGCTGCTCTGGCAGCTTGGCACAGCACTCAACAGGTCTCTTGGCTTCAGACGCCTCCTGCAGTCTTTTCCCAGGCCCGGGATCCTGCCTCTGCGCCAGCACTCCCCTCTGCAGCTGTAAATCTCAGAGAGCAGGGAGGGAAGTCCTGCTCTGCCGATTCCATTCTCCCGCTAGCAACAAAATCACTGATGCTGGAGCTTTTCCCAACACACTCGTTCAGCATCAGGATATTGTTTCCAGAGAGGAATACGCTGGGGGCGCAGGAGTGTGAGGGGAGCAGGAAGGAGAGAGAGAGAGGACAGATGGCACCTCGCTCTGGAAGAGGCGAGGCGAGAGAAGGAGCTCATGTTTCTCCTTGGCACTGCAACATTCTTTCATTGAGCTCCAGAGAGCCACCGCTCCCAGCAAAGAGCTGATACAAGTTGTATTTCTCAATTACAGCGGGGGAACTGTCAGTGCTTCTGGACGGACCAAGATAAATGGACAGATATTTTAAACCCTTCTTTTACTGTGCTTGCAGGGAACATTTGCAGCTAAGACAGCCGCTAAAGAAAAGCTTGAGCTTTCTTCCCTAAAAGGTAAACGGGTGAAGAAAGGGCCTTCCTGTCAGACCCCAGCTGCAATTCTTCGAAAGGCACAATTTCTACTGCTGGCACACTTCAGGGGAGCACGCGTGACACACACCTGTCAACACGCACAAATAGCACTACGTATGCATCTTGCCGTTTGTTTTCTGCCACACACAGAATATAAACATAGTCTTATAGTCTCCCTAATTAAGTTTGTGAACAGAATATGTACGACGGGCATGTCCAGACAGTACAATCAGGCACACCAGTGACTGAATGAACACTTTAGCAAGCCGAGGGTGCCGGGAAGTCTACCAAGCTCGTACTGCCTGCGAGTGTCTCACCTTGCCAAGGCAGGCCTGCTAAGTTTGGCCTGTTCTCGGGTTCACTGGTTTCTGAATGCCAAATCAAAGGTGGGAGAAAAAGGCACCTCCCCTTCTCTTTTGACCTAGATCCTGTTTTCCACCTTGTGTGACAGAGCCGAAGCTTTCCGCTGGAAGCACAGAGGCCCTGCTGTAAAAACCCAACCACTGTGAAACTCAAAGAGGCACGGCGACACCCTGGCAGGAGCCCAGACAGGCAAGTCCAGTGGGAGGAGCTCGGCTCTGACTGGGGCCAGGCAGGGCCGCAGGCCAGCTGCACATGCGAACCAGTCGTGGCCAGGCTGGGGCCTGGCGGTAAATCAGATCAGCACCAGGCGGTGTATTTTCTCGTGACTTGTTTAATGCTCCAGGAATCTCCCTGAGCCTTTGGAGATGCAGGCCAGTAAAAATCCACATGTGAAACTATCCTTTTACATGAAAACTGCAGAATCATCATATCCCTGTGACAGACGACAAGTGACACCCAACAATCCATGAGAGCTGTGTAATTCAAGACCTTTCAGCACATTCTGAGCATGCAAAACAGAGGAGATTAGCTTAGAGCCACGCGTTACTTTACACCCCTATCCCTGCTCACCCAGACATCGATAGCGCTGGGCAAAAATGAAAACGAAACGGCCCCTTTGACTACTCTGTCCTTTTTTGGGAGGCATAAGGACACCCCAAAGCTATTACATGAACAAATCATACATACAACAGCCTTATATGCACTATTAGGAGCCTTCTGTATTGTTTCAAAATTAAAAGCAAATGCTGCAACCCAATTACACAGTAGAAACTGAGCACAGTACAAATCAGAGTGGCAGGGAACTGCAGCGAAAAGCTGCATCACACACCTGTGGAACCACTTCTACAACAGATGAGTAATATTTATAAATATTCCAATAATATGAAATAAATATGTCCAAACAATTGTGAAAATTCACATGCACAACACGTCAGACTGGAGCGCGGATCAAGTGAAATCTCTGCAGCTCTTTTCAACAGGCATGGCTTGAAATTTGCTGACTGGATTTGAGAACTACCCAAAAATCCACGTCTGATCTTCATGACAACTCAATGAACAAATCACGCCTGGCACATTAATCAGCCACCATCTTATCTGGCTTTGAGCAAAACAGCGGTCTTTTGGAGCAACGAAGTTCAAAGCCTGATTTCTGGTGCTTGTGAAAGAGTGAACCCCAGCCTCCCATGGATGCAGAAGCAGGTCCACCGGGCTGGCGGGGCAAGGTTACCTGTGGAGGAAGTTGTGTTTGTGAAGGTGCGCCAGCCCAGCTGCAATCTCACACGCCATCTTCTGGAGCTGCAGCAGCTCCGAGCTCCCGTAGATCCATTCTTGCTGGCTCAGGTAGCCCTTCAGGTCACCCTGCAGAAAGAAGCACAGACACTCCTCAATGAGCACTGGAAACTCTCTGCCACTTCCACACGTCTGTACTGGTGTAACTCTGACATGGTACTTGTGCACAGAGGCCTGCTCTGCTGGGGCTGCTCCAACACTGTACTTGTACACAACCCTGCACATGGAGAACACTGTCACAGAGACTAAGGCTATCCTAACTGCACTCTGTCAAGCACCTCAATCCTTGTCTATATAATATCAGGGAAGCACATCCTTTTTGACAGTGGACATGAGATAAAAAGGTTTCTCTATCCTGTGCTTACTATTGCCATCTCACTACACAAGACATCCATTCCAACCATAGGGATTAAGAAACTGTGACAAGTGGAAAAAGATAATGTTGCAAAACAGATAAGCACTATGCTGCTGGCAAAGGGATAAAGCAGATTACTTCTAAAAGGTGATACCTGAAAATGACAAATTCCTGAAACAAGCTTGGCAAGTTTTCTTTCAGTGACATTCAAGAAAATTGTGTTTTTTGCTTGATACTTTATATGCTATGGAACAATGCTTTCAATGCAAAGAATTGCATTGTACCATAAAGAATACACTTTGAGTTGCACAACTGCTTAACGAACAGGTTGTCAAACTGCAGTGGGTGGGAACAGCCACACGAGGGCAGAAACAGCTCTCCCTCTGCTTTCCAGCAGGATGCTGTGACAGAGGTCTGATTTTTCAATCAATACACTCAGTGCCATGTAAGGGCATGATCATATAATGGATTTTGGCGTATGCTGTGTCACAGCATTTTAAAAATAAAAAAGCCATGTCAGTGAGGTAGATAAGCCACCCTGCGCTGTGGCCAGGCTCATATTTCCTATAGCTCTGCGATGATACAGGGTGAATAACAGTCTTCAGTGACCATGGCCCGCGTGAAACCACACATATTAAACATGTTCGTTCTTCACCCGATATCCCATAAAATCATTCTTAAACCAATATCAAGTGCCTCTCTTGCTTCATCGCTTTCCCCTCTTGCTAAATTACTCGAAATATGGTGGCAATGTTACTTCACAGCCTATTACAGGAATATGTAGATGCATTTTCTCCAGCACGCCGAGCACCTGTGGAAGCACTTCCACGTCTCTGAGCCAGATGAGGGGAAGTTACCCATGTCTAGTGCAACAGGCACTTTCTGTCTGCAGCTGTATGTCCTATGCAGCTCATCACTCTCCAGGTTGCACAGGCTCTCCTAAGACACACGGGACTCGGGTCATGCTGAAGTACAACATGTCTGTACCAGGAGACCAGGGCTACGCTTGCCTAGAGCGACTGAACCAATGTTACATTTGCGCTGGCTGCCTGTCAGCTTTGATCAGTGTGTCGAAATCGCTGGAGACTGGGCAGGGAAATCCAAGTATCAGCGCCTGCTACCTTCACTCGGCTCAATGCCTTCCTGTGAGCTGCCGTGATGTGCAGCAGAAAGCCGACCACACTGAGGCGTGCTGAGGCCCCCGCCTCTCACAGGCCAAAGCGCTGCAGTCACAGAACTGAATCACAGAGACCGACAGCGCAGCCGTGCAGAGTGTGATCAATTTAAACAAGACGTTCAAGGCCAATACAGTCAGTGCTGATGAAGAGTCCGTCTTTTAAAACTTGTAACGAAATATCTTGACTACTGCTGCAGATTAACTGTGCAGAAGGGGGCCTTTCCACGGTGGATTACAAGGTGATTACTTTGACATTTAACACCCCTCTCATCTTCACAGCATTCTCCCAAAGCGCTCTTTCATCCGGGTGGGGCTGCACATTGGAGTCCCCATTACCTGTGAAGCGCTTTGAGCGGAGTGTCCAGAAAAGCGCTATATAAGTGTAAGCAATTCTAACCGATGAACTCTGCGTGCACTGTGTCCAGGCACGTACCACCTCACCTCGGTGCTTTTGTTCCTGACATTAGTGCACTGAGCGGTCTAAAATAAGACAGTGAATTATCTGGGTACAATAAGCTGTTGCTGTAAAGTCCAGGGAAAATCCCAGGCAGATGCACAGAGAGACAGGGAAAACTACAGGGCCAGCACAAGTAGAGCTCTGCGATCCTGTGAAGCTGCTGCAGAGAGCTTGATGCTATTTTCGCAGCTTTCCAGTCAGAAATGAATGCTAACTGCATCCCGGTGGGCGAGTTAAGGGGTGAGGCGTCTTGCCTTCCTGATTAAGCTGTGCTGTCAATCTGTGAAATGAAGGAATATGGTGTTTTCTTTCGACTGGACATCTCCAAACTACCACCAAGGTTCTTCAAATCAAGGATCTTGGTTACTTAAATTCCATCAGAAAATACACGCATACATCTCCCAGTCGTGAAAGCAATTTCAGAACATCTCTCTCCACTGTGTCCCAAGGACACAGACATTCTCATCATTGCCTATGGTCCTTTGTCAGGCTGTACAGGTACTTGTGGGATGTCAGGAAATTCAGAACATTATAGGAAATGAGGTTGGAATCAACCTGGTATCTCTCTTTCTGGCCTTCCAAGTAGGCATGTAACTAATATTACTAAGAAAATTAGTTATCAACTCAGGATATCTACTCAGCTAGATGTCTTAGGAATGCCAGGTCCATTCTCAAGGACCCCAGTAATCCCAGTTACAAACTGTTTTCTCTCCTACCATCTGTTAAACAGTACCGGAGCATCCGGTCCAAGTCCAACAGCTTCTACCTCCACGCAAGAAGACTGCTAAACAGCCAACCTGCAGCTCCTTTAGCAGATCACCCGTAATGGATACATGGACACAGAGTTTTCACTGTACTGTGCACACTGCGCTACTTGGACAGAATGCATTGCATACACCCTGGACACATCACAGCTCTATTTATACTGAGCTTTGTCTGAGTTTATTTTATTCAATTTCTATTGCACTTTTATCATGTAACTTTATTTTGTAACCTTAATTTTGTGATTTGTCTCCCCACCGGTGAGCTCGTAGAAAAGACATTTCATTGCCAGCAATAGTGGGCTACACGCCTGGCGCTGGCCAGTGCAGGCTGCCGGTGGCCAGCTGGGCCGAGGTGTTGCCTCAGCCCTTGCCCCAAAGGGGTTGGGGGTGCAGGATCCACCAGAAGTAAGAATTTCATTAAATACTCCTCAGAAATATCAGTGTATCAAAGAGGGGGACCAGCTCGGCATATACTGCACAGCTGCAGGAATTCTCCCTGGAAGCCTGGAAAGAGACCGACTGTCATTAGGACAGCAAGTGGCAGTGGGCAGCACGCTCCAGTTGTTCGGAGCGGCTATATTCCGTACGCAATGCAATGAGTCAGGAATACTCCTGGTTACTGCTCAAACACATAAATCAGCTCGCAGTCAACACACCGTGGCTCCGTCTCGGCTTGCTTAAAAACTGAGGTTTTAATAATAATCTTAATAATTAAAGTGCAAGAGGCGATTTGCAGCAGAGAGGATCTGACATGCGATCAGTTTTTCTGCGACAGGTAGAGGAACGACGGAAAACACTGCAGCGTCAGTGTGCTCATGAGATCATCTTCTCACAAGCCCTACCGGGGTGAACTGGCCAGCGCCAGGACCGTAAATCAGAGAAGACAGAACTCAAGACGCCCCTCAACTTGGAAGCCTGCTATAGCTTCCTCAGGGTTTATAGAGCCAAGGTCTGTGTTGACGTCTTTAAAGAGCCAGCAGAGACAGAAAAAACGTTTGTAGTTAATGGGCAGAACATAGACTTTAAGGTCCTAGCAGCACACTTCCACTTTTCTTCTGATTTGTCACTGCAGACGCCTACAAGGGTTAATGTCAACGTGACCCTCTAGTCTCAGGCCGGGAGACGAAGAGGCCCACAGCAGCTCCTGAAGCCGTTCCGCAACACGTTCAAGTGTAACTGCAACCACGAGGGAGTGCAGAGACAGCAGTATACAGAGCATTGCTATTCCAATGGATCACTGTCAGGGGCCAACTGTAAAGGAAGGTCATCCTTCATAAGTGAACTGGCATTCTCTGGATAAGGAAAAGCGCAGACAAAACTCTCTTTAGCAAAAGAGCTTTCGCTGCACATTGGAGGCCTTTACCAGTTAAAAAAAAATCCAAACAGAGCAGAATCAGCAGCAGAGGCTGGTGAAAGCAGAGCTGGCCGCGAGCTGGGGTCCTCAGGAATGCAGGAGGGCTGCTCTGCAGCCAGTCACACAGTCCACATCCACACCACATCAAGAATAGCTAATGAGACAGAAATAAATGAACAAAAATAGCAATGAAGCAAGCGCTTCGCATTCTGTTGACAGCGACCTGACCGAGACCATGTGCTGCTGGATTAAAGCAGACAGCCCTCACGGGACAAGAGGATGAGAAGAGGAGAGAAAACACCCGCCTGGCTGTGAACCACTCTCTCTATTTTAGGAGAGACGTGGAACAAAGGTGTGAAGGGAAAACAGACCCAGCAACAGTTGCTCCATCCGTCCACTTTCAGGAACAGCTTCAGCCCCGGGCCGTCACGGTGAGCCGGACAACACCCCCCAGAGCGCCCACGGCCCACCTCGGGGCGCGCCCACACGCACACACCCTCCCGAGACGCGTCTCTGGAGTTTGGGAGGAACCATGCAGCTGGAGAAAAGCCGCGCCTTTCTCACACAAAACTCACGCAGGCCGCTGCCGGCAACCGTGTGAAATCAAGAGGCGCGCAGAGCACTGAAACGAGCCAGCGGGTGACGAACCTCCCAGCTCTGCCCCTACAGATACACCAGGCCGTTCGCCAACGCAACTGCGCCAAATTATTTAACGTAAGGCGTTTTCTACGGCTTTCCGGGATGAGTGTGGCAAGGTGAGGAGGCAACGTCAAACACTTACCAGGTCGCAGTACTCGAAGACCAGCAGGAAAGGAATGGACTCCACACACTGCCCCAAGCACTGCAGGATATTGGGGTGCTGCAGGACCCTGTGGAGAAATTCAGTCTCTGTGTTAAATGTGTGCAATCCTTCCCTGTGGTTTTACACGCACACACACAAACTGAAACCCCGGCGCAGCTGAAAAAGCTACCTCATGGAATTTGCACAACGTATTATGAAATAAATCAAAATGCTTTTCTACTCATAAGGGATAATTATTACCCCCTCAAACAGGAAACCGATTACAGCCTGCCAAAGCCTTGGTAAAGACACAGCAGAATCGCACAGAGGGTGCTGCTGAGCTGAGAAAAGCCCTGAGCTCCACCCTCCCTCTCGCAGAAGAGAGCTCCAGACACTCACAGGGACTAGCCATCCCCACACTGCGCTGCTGCACACTGGCACAGCCACAGTTTCACGGATTTTCAGGATTTTGTCTTTCCAATGCATGCCTGACACGCGCTGCTTGGTTTTATTTTCACACTCGCAATGTGCATGTCAGGGTTTTAAGCACTTTCCACCCTTAAAAAACATATCTTGAAGGATCCCTATTTGATATAACGCGACCAGATATCAGTACATATGTCCGCTCTTGTGAAAGTTTAATAAGGTGAACCTAGTTTAGGACAGCCGTGTGGCGCAGGGTTCAGGAAAAACACTGCTGTTGAACCATTGAGCAAGGAGCTGCAAGCTGCACTTGAATTGTCGAGCAGAATATCCAGCTGTATAAACTGGTGCCACTGCAAGCCTCTTTGAATAAAGACGTCATAAAGCGTATTTTACCCAGTTTCGGATGATTTTATCAAACCTACGCCAAATATTCATTTTGCTTTACAGGGAGGATCCCACAGACCATGACGAGTAACAGGTCATTTAGCATGTCAACTTCATGATGGTGAAAAGAATCCACCGGTTTGATTGGCTGAATCTCGTAACACCTTACTACACTTAACTGTGCTGTTGACCAGGGTTCACGACAGCAGAACTACTTCAGCCAAGTAATGACTCGCTAGCCTTTTGTTTTCAAAATAACTAGAGAGCGCTGTGAACATGAAGAGTAAACAGGAATGATCAAAGTGTCAGGTTGTCCATCACTATGATCAGCAGTATCTCCTACGTGATCTCGACTCACCGATATGGGTCTCCATGCTGCAGGAAGTCGTTCTGCTCCTTGGCGTTGGCGTTGGCCTTCAGCTCCTTGACCACCACCCTGTCCGGCCTTGGGTCTGTGTAGATCTCGCTCAGCAGGACCTGAGAGGAGAGGAGAAGTCAGGCGGCCCGCGTGGTCACTCTTTTATAGAGCCACACAGGAAACCCCCGCTTCCCCGCGAACAGGCCCCGCCACAGGGCTGGAGTCTGGAAAGGGACAAGGACGCTGGGGCAGCGACCAGAGGATGTTTTGCTGATCCCGGGGCCGAGTCACAGCGCGGGGCCGTGTCCCCGGCCCCCCCGTCCTCAGGAAACAGCCAGAGGAAGCACGACGTCACCCTGACAGCCCTCAGCCCCTGAGAGCCAGCACGTGCGGAGGAAAATATTTACAAAGCTGCGTGTTTGCTTTCCTGAGAACGTCGGAGGAAAAAAAAAATGTTTGGGTTTTTTTTTTAACATGAAAAAGGTCTACCATGGATTTCAACTTTACAAAAAACTTGAACTTCTGGGCTTTAGCAAATTTGTTTTAAAGGCAAGCAAGAGGAATTTAGCTACACATGTTTTAAGCTGGCTTGAACACAATCTTTGACTGCAGAAGGCACTTTAACGGAGAGGTTAAGGTTTCCCCAGAGCACAAAGACGAGCAGTCAGTCTACTGGCTTAACATCCTCACATTTACAATCTTTACGCCACTTTTAGGCAAATTTGCACTCCCAACAAATGAACCCGCAAATCGTGCATGTGCAACTGAGTGATCCAGCACAAAGATTAACAGCCAAGGTGGAACTGGAAACAGAGCTCACAGCGACGTTGGGGCAGTCTGCCATTGCTCAACCTGCTAAATACCTCCTCCAAATTGCCTTTAAACTGCTAACGCACGTCGCTGACCCCGAGCCAGAAAGACATACCTTTCCGAACCAGCCACTTCCGACTTCCTGGATGTAGCTCAGACTGTGACGTGCCACCTGTGAACCCGTAGATCCCTCTGCAAGACAAACGCACAGAATTTGTGAACAAATCCCAGTGTGAATACGACAAAGCCTTCAAGCACATCGATTTTGAAACTCTAAATGCACAGCCTGAAACAAATGGGCAGTTTGAGCGTGCAGAACATGTGTCAGTAGAGTAAGGAACAAAGTGTTAAGCTCACATAGTGCATATTTTAAAACTGCTATGTAACTGCTTACATGCTTTATGTAAGTACTGTGCAACTGAAACTACATGAGAGTCACACAAATGAGGGGATTTAATACCTTTGAAGAAACCCACAAGACTGTAGATCCCAGTTAATCCCTTTTGAAATGCAACTAAGCAGCTGAAGGCTCAAACTATTCAAGCACAGCTCTGGAATCACCATTTCAAAAATGTATAAGTATTAAATCCACTTTGCTGTACACAGCTGCAAGTGATCATCTGCTGTTAGTTCCACTGAGTTCTGAAACGCCTGTGCATGTTAGTGTGTGTGTGTGTGCGGGACTGTTGACCTAACACACAAAAATTAAAATAATGACTCCACAAAGATGGTGTCTGCCAAAGTATATGACTTATCAAATAAACAGCAACTTCTTTTAAATCGAATATTGTTTCTTTTAGATTGCATTATTACCCTATGCTGAGTTTTATATTCAAACAGACATTGAATTATTCCGAAGATGCTATTTGTACAGCTGGGTTCAAAACTATACTGGAGCGAAGTGCTTTCCTCAGGGGTACCCCAGCAGTGCCCCACATGGGCACTGAGCCCAGAATCTGAATGTTAAGAATATGGTTGACTCCAAGAGAGAAGAAGTCACTGCGGACCTGTCTGGTTGTTAGTAGTTTATTGACACAAGGATCCCATACAGCTGTTTCTTGAAAAAAGCCAAAGTAAGAGCTTCACCCACATAGCTGGTAGCTTGTTCCACACTCCCACAACTCTCTGGGTAAACTACAGCTTTCTGTTTCCGGTATTAAATGCACTTCCATGAGTTGACACCTGTGCCAGCATATTAGTACTTTAGTGTTTATTTTGATGAAGTCATGCTGGTTGACTTCAGAAATGACTTTCAGGGTTTTTGAATTTAATTCTTAGATCTCCTTCCTCGAAGTCTTCTCTGATCAAGATTACAAAAGGTTTATTTATTTCAGCCCATCAGCGTAGAACACTCTGTGAAATCCCAGAATGCACCTGGTTGCTCTTCTCTGGACTGATTCCAGGGCAGCAGTATCTTATTTGTAACAGCTTGCACACGAAAGAGGCCTAACTAGTGCCTAATACAAGTTTAGCATATCATCCCTTGATATTGATGTTGACAATAACAAGTCACTTGCCTTTTTAATTGCTTCCTCACATTGTCTGGAACAAAAAAAGCAGTCTTTTTGTATAAATAAATGGTATTTAGTGTTATTTCAGCGGAGGAGAGGACAGTTAATGAAAACAGAATGAAAGTGTTATTTGTGCACTGTCCATGGGGCACAGGAATGATTAAAACTCATCGTGGCCTGGCGAAAAAGCAGTGAGTTATAGATGAAAAGGGCCTTATCCTGCATCCTACCGTCTGCTTCGTTACCAGCATGTTCCACTCAGTACTTCAACACTAACCCTTCAGGAAAAGCATAACCAGCTGTCAAGCTGCAAGCTCCAGTCCTTTCATTGTGGCAGAGACATATGCACTGACACTTTCCCTCATCTTTCTGCACCGCGGCAATGCCAGAGTCATCCTCCCCCTGAGCTCTTCCGTCGTCCCGTCCAGCCGAATGGGAGCTAACTCAGCTTGGCTTGGGGACGGACACAGCCACCTGGCCGTTTCTTTTGGCTTTGGAAGCTTTCACAAGTTCCATTCATTTATATTTTTATAAGAAAATAAAACCTTGCTGTGAACCAGGTGTTGTGAGATCTTTAGTTTTACATCTGCATTCATGGAAAGAGCGCCGTGTTCTTTCACCTCCTGCTGCAGAAAGCCCCGTCCCTGTGCTGGGCGGGACCAGCGCACGGCGGCTGAGGGGAGTTTCATGATGGACAGCTGCAGCAGACACTCAGAAGGGCCCCATGCAACGCACAGCTCCAAGTCACCAACTGGACTTTCCTTGGATACCGTTGCCTAGCAATCACCGACGACACGTCCTATTTACAGGGCAGGAAACCCCCCAAACTGACAGCCGAGCAAAACAGGATGTTTACAACGAAAGCGTGCCAGGGGTTGAGCTGGGGAGCGGGGGCCTCACTGAAGGATTTCACATCCCAGTAAGGAAGTGCACGGACACCAGGCGACACTGTAAAAGGAAGAGACGCACATCTGGCCAAACCAAATATAACCCTTTCTCTGCGTTTACTGGGCGTCAGGCCAGTGTCCTAACAGCCGGCCCTGAACCACACTGCGGAATGGTATGACCGGACACCCAGCAAAAGGGAAAGAGTAATACAGCTCTCCTGCTGGGGGAAATGTCGGGGGGGAAAAATAAATACAGGACCGCTCTATTGAAAAATCGGTCACCACACGCTTGTGGGATGAGACGTCCACTTGTACACGTATACACGACACAGGGATCTCTCGCCCTGGTCCTGCAGAGACCCAGTCCAGCACGTTTCACAGGTGATCATAACATCCGTTTGCAAAAGACCAGCGACACTTTGTCAAGAAATTAAAAGTGGGATTCATTCAAATTCATTACTTGATCACCTTGCACAAGAATCATAGAACTCTTTAGCAACTAATGTGCTTAATGAAATGAAAGCTGAACTGATCAATAATTTATGAGTGTTCCCAATGTTTAGAAGCACACACGCTTTTCCTATTACTCCAAATAAAGGGAATTCCAGGCAATGTTAACACGCTCCCTAAACTGAGTCATCTCATTCTTTGCTTTCCAACTTGTGGCCTGCGTGACATTCGCTGGCATTACGCTCTGAATTCAAAGATCTTATGTGAATTTCAGCCTGACACATCATTTCGGTTTGAATCGGCTGTTAGAAAACGCAGTGTTGAAAACAACACGGCCGCCATGTGGGAATTGTCTCAGAACAAGGGCTCTGTTAGTCAGAAACTGCCTGATCATTAATGCCCCGTTGTTCGCTGGACCCTCTCTTTCTCCCAGTGGGAATTAGAGCTATTCGGTACAGATTACCACTATCTGAAAGGATGGGCCTATTCCCTCTGCACAATTTCTGCAACAGACATGACATTACTCATCACACCCCCACAGCCGCCAGGCGTCGGGCTCTCGCAGAGCTGGAGAGGTGCCGATTCCATCGAGACCCGTGTGCGGTCGTGGACAGGGCCTGCAGCTCTCTTCGCAGGCAACGGGAGGATCTCCCGAGACTCAAGAGACTCGCAAACACTAAGAGAAAGAATGCGAAGCAACTGAAAAACACAGGACCCTGGCTATTAAGCTGGAGGGCGACACACAGCTCACTAGAAAAGGCCAAAAGGTTGTGCAGATTATTGGCAAAGACCTGCAGACAGATGTGCTATTACGCACAAAGATATGGTCCCAGTATTACGTTGAAAAAAACATCAAATAAAATTCTCCGTATCTTCGCTTCGGAGGAACGATTCATGTTCACTTGCCGAAAAAGAGATTTAAGGCTTTTCAGGATTACTCTTTTGGAAACGGAACGAAACGAGTGCACAAAAGCTTCAAAAATTTTAGCCAGTGCATACAATTAGAACTGCCACTGCTGGGTGATCCACAGACCCTGGTGCTGTGCAGGACGGTCAGACGCTCCCCCCCAGTCTGTTTGGGGGGTGGTCACCAGGTTCTGGGGGCTCCGACTCACCTCCAGTCCTGGACGCCTGCAGATGAGGGGGTCCGGGCAGAGCCAGCGGAGGGACAGCGAGGGTGTAGACCTCCGCAGGAGACTGGATGGAAGGAGTGTCTTCAGCAGGGGGAGTGAAGTCGATCTCGTCCTCGAAGTTGTCCTCAAACTCCTGTCGGACACAGAGGAGGCGTCTTTGTTTCACACACAATGCGAGAGAGAAAGAGGTTGGCATCTGTGCCCACGCCAGCCTGTGCCAGCCAAACCAGCCCTAAGGCCATGGCTTTTTAATTGTAATTCTACGAAACACTTAAACACTATACAGCACACAGACCTACTAAGGAAATGATCTAAACCGTTACTTCAGCATTCAGGGAAAAACTGGGACATTTGCCTTTCTGTACGAGGAGGCAAACCCACCCTGCTGCACTGGAGGACTTCCAATCACAGCAGAATTTTAATTATTTAAATGACCCTGAGCTGGAAGGGCAATTAAATGCAGAATGATTTGCTGGAGGAAGCATCTAAAGTAACAGAAACGCAGTGCCAAAGCCGCTGACTCCTGTGATGCAGTACGGGGGAGAACCGTAATCCTGATGTAACGTGGTGCTATGCCGTCTACTTCACCACTTCAGAACCTGCCAGCTGCTGGGCTGAAGGCGGGCGGCCCTTGCAGAAGCCAAGGAGGAGGGAAGATACTTTCTCCTTGTGCCACCAGGGGGCAGTGTGGATGCTGAAAAGTGAAAGAGGAGGGCAGAAGAGCCACTACCACAAGGCCTTAGTGTGACACAGGGAACCTGCTCATTGGTCAGCTTCAAGCCGTGGAAGTCTCCAGGAGCTCATAAATCTGCTTTCACTTGTTGAGACAGAGCTAGGAATCCCATCGCAGCCAGTGGAATTTGCAGCAGAGCACGGATTTACAGGCTTGGCCAGAATCCAGCACCGTTCCAAATTCCCCAGCTGCATAACGTTATAAAACAACTGCTGAAGGGGAAATAAGGGACCCACTGGCCTTGCATGCAAGGATTCTTCACTTGGTAGTGAATGCAAACCTGCAAATGGCCAAATGATCAGGGCAGGTACAGGTACACACAGACACCTGCTGGAGACAAATACCGGCTGGGAAGCACGGCTCACCCAGTCAAGCAGGCTAAGGAAAGGGGAACACTGGGAGATCTCCCTTTGGAAGCACTCCTTTGGAACAATTTTTCTGAAATACCTGCTAATGTTAACAGCCGTAGCTAAGTAACAAATTCTTTTTGGATTTTACTTAATCACATGACATCGGACATCAATTGTAAATTTGTTATCAACATCTCTATATACTGTATAGAGATGTCTGCATTATTCAGTGGCTATGGCATTTGCTTTTATCATATTTAAAGTAATCGGCCTAGAACATCCTAAATTTCCAACAAACCTAAGTTTGTAAAACTAAATGCGTTATTAAACACCTCTTTTAATCTCCCTGAATGCTCATTCATCCTAGCATGTGATCTTTAGGAAGTCCTAGTCAACTGACTGATTCGGAGAAAAATGTTTACTGCATGCAAATCGACATTTGTCAAGAAACAGATGAGATAAAATGCAAGTAGAGCAAGGGAGTGAGAGACAATGTGCTTTATCTGCAGATACAATTTCTACCTCCCCTTCTACCTGCCAGTGGACACTGTGGAGTGTTTCACTCACACCTGTCCCTGTGCACCCAGTACAAACAGGGTCCAGCGATGCATCAGCGTATACAGATGACTGATATCCCATCCCAAGGAGGTCTGGGGACACAGCGCTAGACACAACGGGAAGCACTGACTGCATGGAGCTCTGGGCTTGGGGGACATGTCAGGGGGCCATGGTCTTCCGCCACTGCCCAATACCTTGAAGATGATTTCCTGTTCTTTGCAGCAGGATGTACAGTTCAGTAACAGGAACACCAGCACCAGCAGGCCCACCACAGAGACCGCCAGGGAGAGGGACAGCTCGCCAGCGGCCAGCTGACCTGCAGGGCACAAGAAGACAGACAGACAGCATTAGAATCTCACCTGCCTGCCGCCCGAATCACAACAGGCCCGTCTTAGGAAGGTCGGTGTCGCAGCTTTGTCATTGGCAATAAGCACAACCAAATGAAATCAAGCCCACTTTTTGCTGTTCCTTCGCATTAAAAACCTAACAAATTAAAAACAAACTGAAGAATCTAGAGTGGGAAGCAAGGTGGCGCGGTGGTTATCACCGATATGCCTATCCAGCCCCAGCTCACGGTGACGTGTTCAAGTGTCTGTCGCGGTGATGGTGAAAGCCTCTGGGACCCACGTCTCAGGACCTGGATCAAACAAAGTTCAAACCAGGGTTATGCCAGTAGCCAACATTTTCCAGGGGAGAGCCGACTTCTCATGTGTCGCCAGGGCCGGGTCAGCGGAGGGTATCCGTGACTTGCCCTGTCGCAGCCGGCTGTGGCTTGCCAAGAGTCTGCGAGCTCGGTGGGACAGCTGCACCCCTCCCCTGCCTGTCTTGGCACCCTGGGCTCTCCTCCGTTCCACCCCTGTGCCTGTAGAGATGCACTCGCGGAGAGTTGAGCCGAGTAATTCCAGACAAGCCATAAAAAAAAACAAACAAACAGACACTGCGATTCTTTTTTTAGAGCATAATTGCGGCGACTGTCCTAATTTAGGCTTTTAAAAGCCAGACAAAAAGTTCCTCGGCGGGAGAAATCCCCCGACTGTGAGCCGATTCGTTCAACTGGAAAGCGCTCCAGCCTCCGTGAAAGGCTGAAGCCACATGGCACCGAGACGCAGTCGGTACAACTCAGCCCCGCTCCAGGTTCCCACACCTCTTTCCAAGAGGCCATGAGGCAGAAGAGCTTCTGCAGCACCAGTTTTGCCTGCTAAGCGATCTGCACTGCCCTGCGCTTGTCCACGTGCTCTGCAAACGAAAAGGGGAGAGAACGACTGCGAAGGGGTGCCGATGGAAGCGGAGCTGAACGAGGCCAGTCCCGTCTCTCACTCCACACTTGGGCACAGCCTCTGCCCCTTCCTGCCTGCCTAGCAAAAGCCACAACTTCCGGCTCGCCGACACACACGCGAGGCTGGCGCACACAAAGGGGGGAAGGATATTCCGAGGTACATCTGTGTTTTCTTTCTTTCTTCTTCTTCTTGCTGGGGTTCCCCAGCCCCTGCCTGGTGCATTTCCCAGGATCAGTCCACGCAATCCTTGGCGTCCTGGGGTGAACCGCACGGAAAGAACCATCGGATTTATAAGAAAACAGCACAGCTCTACAGCGGAACCCCAGCGGCCAAGTCCAGAATTCTCCTCTCCACACTGGGGTGCTGACCGCCTCTTTGCTTAAATAAACATGCTGTCCTCTCAGTGAGAAGCTGTGCACTCCAGAAACCAGATTTTCCCGACTGCCTTTTAGAAACACGAAGGTCATGACTGAGATGGGGCCCTACTGGTCATCTAGCTGGTTTGGTGGCTAGTAGCGAGTTGATGCCAGTATCTCGCTCAAAGCCAGGGTATCAGCTAGTTTACTGAGAGGAGGAAGCACTGAGTGCCGTATTAATCCTTATTTAGAGCTGCTAGATGTAACATTCTCTCCTGCGACAAGGACTTCTGTGTTTGCAAACGCGGCCCAGGGAATTCACTGCACAGGTATTCAAACCGCTCATAACAAGAATGTTATTTCTGTAACACAATGGATTCTGAACAAACTACAGTAACAGCAGGCTTCAGGTACATCTTCCACCAAGTAACAGGAGTTAAAAAAAATGTCTTCATCCATCAAATCCCTGAATACATCCCACAGCCCCCATGCAGGTACAGCAGCTATGTTACCCTGCAGCTCACAACTGACAATCCACTGGAGCTCAGCAGTGTGAGCCTGGCCAGTACCTGGAGGGAGACTCCTGGGAGAGCTGAGGCTGCTGCTGGTTAGTGGAGCAGTAGGGGGTGCTCACCCTGTGGTCTATGTGGGTCCTAATGCCCCAGTACAGTGACGGGGACACTCTACTGTTAAAAGGCGCCATCCTTTGGATGAGACATAAAACCAGGTCCTGACTCTCCATGGTCAGTAAACAATCCCAGGGCATTTCTCAAAAAGATTAGGGGTCTTACCCCGGTGTCCTGGCTAAATTTTCCCCTGGAAACCACGGCCTTCTAATAATTCCCCTCTCTGAACTGGCTCCATCACTCTGCTCTCCTCCCCACTGAGAGCTGGTGTGCAGGGAGCATACTGGTGCTGCACACTGGTGGTGGTGGTGGAGGGGATCCCCATTACCTGTAAAACCCTCTGAGTGGAATGTCAGAAAAGAGCTACAGAAGTGTGAGGAATTATTAAATGAACATTAACAAATCTAAACCACGTTTCACAGCTATACCACCGATATACTGTACTCCTTTTCATTCCATTTTATCATTTTAATTCGTACGGATTGGACAATCACACAGGGTTACACCTACACTTTCTTGGATAAATCGGCATTTAGGGCATAATCAAATGTGGAGGCTACTCTGTATCTGCCATAACGCTCCACTTCTCCTGCCAGCGATCCAACAGTGCCGCACCACAGACTCACAAGGAATCAGCCTGACCTACATTCAGTTCACACAGAGTTATTTTAGGACTCAGAAAGCGCCCCTCCCGAGCTGCACCCCCCGCTCCACGCCCAGGGTGGTGCACTGCCGGAGTCGGGAGGCTGCGATTCGGGCCCTACGCTGTACTCCAGGAGCTCCGAGCTCTGATCCCGCTCCAGCTCCTCAGTGTGCACAGTGCCCTTGCCTCTCAGGATGCCTGCGTGAGGATCCTAAAACCTGATCTGCAGTTCATTGCTATATAGGTCACTTTGTATACCTGTGATCCTCCCCGGAGAGCAATCACAGCACAAACTGACACTTATCGCATCGCCCGGGCAGCGTCTCCAGACTGCGATTGTTCTCCAGAGGAGCCAGGCCCAACCGCAGCCAGCTCTAACCAGCGGCACCACCATCACGGCGGAGCGATTCATTTTCATTTCCAACAAACCCCAGACAGAAGCGCCGGCAGGCCCTGGGGAGAGGAGCACGACCGCGCAGGACCCCGGAGGGAGCGAGACAGAGGCAGGGACAGACAGAGCGTTCGTTCTGGGTGGACACACGGAGAGGGGTCTCGCAACATGCAGAAACACAGGTGCAGGAACCCTATTTATGCCTTTAGTGCCAGACCACAAGAGTTGTTTGGTGATGCACAAGACCGATCATAACAACAATTCTTGTTAGAGGAGGTACATGACAAGTATTGTTTCTAGTAATCCCCAAGCAGACAACGTTTAACATGTTGCGTCAACACTTCCTGTGTCCTTGGCAGATCCCACTGTCCCGGACACAGATTAAAAACCAACTTGCTCAGCTCGACAGAAAGCAGGCACAATTCAACAGGAAACTGTGCCCGACAAGTATTCTTCCACACGGCAAGAGTGATGCATCAAACACTCAACCCCCGTGGTCGTCTCCGAGACGGAGCGACACAGCGACACTGTGTGGAACAGGCCACATCCTGCCCTGGATTCCTCACTCTGCCTTTGTTGCTTCTTTAAACACCAAGAATACACCAAGAATACAAGGTTACTGTATGAGGTTTAATAATGCATCAAAGAGAGCAGGAAAACGAGTGCTGCATGATCCAATAGCACTGCGGCCGATTTGTTTCATCACTGTACACAGTGGTGCAGAGGGAGAACCGGCATGGTAACTGCTAGTGAAATATACATACTCGAAAAACACTCCGCTCTCTCAGACGTTTCAGCTTTTAAGAACAGCTTTTAAGTTATAAAAAAATAACACAGCTGACAAACCCCCGCCTGAACAGTACAGGGCAGGTCTACAGCTAGCAGCCAATACTTCAGAATGGATCGGAGAGTTAATTACCGAAATGAGTCTCAGGAATCCTGCACTGCATCACTAACGCATTCATCTGAGTCACGGGTTCGTATTAGGAGCTGGCAAGCCTCACTAAATTATTTAGATGGCTCGCAGTGTGCTTAATAAGGACCTGACAGCTCACATTTCTCTCACCTGCCTACAGAGCGTTTAAGCACAGTTCTAACACAGGGGCTCAGCTGAAAGTAAGCTGGGTGAGCTCCTGGGGTGACCAAACCAGCTAGAACGGTCACCCCTCATTTCTCACCCGATTGCGTGTGTTGGAACAAGTCTGGAAAAATAAAAGTCTCCCAGCAGGTGCAGCGCGAATCACGTGCACGTGCCACTAACTGTCCGCTGGCAGAGGAAGTGAAAACTAATCAATCAGCCCAACTGACTCAGTTCGACAGCCTGTTAGGCTGGAAAGAAAAGGTACAGACCAGACCGACCTTGACCGCCTGGCATGGATCTGTTGCTGGACTGCAATTTCCTGCCATGATGTTTAATCACCTCAGCAAACACAGCTTTAGAAAAGGCTGCTCACTGCCTGCTGCCAGGCCAATGGGGCAAGCAGGTAAATGTGGCTCTCCGTGGTCTCTCTTAACTAAAGATGCAATAAACTCTGCACTTTCCACTGGTAGGGGCAATGGAGCTCAGGGATTCTCTGCACAGTCAGGGCCTTGATCACCGAGAGATGCTGGATTTGTGGGTCGATTCTGGGAGATATGTTTCCATACAGGAGAACCAGACAGTGCAGGGAAACGCAATGACACCAGTGCGGTGCCCATGCTGGAAGAGTCAGCACAACGCCGGTCTGCGACTTCCAACTCTGCAAAACCCTGTGGCTGATCAGTGGTTGCTCAAAGTTAATGTACGTTTCAGGGTTCCTCCAAGGTAGGCGTGTTGCAAATCATCTTCCAGAAATAATCTAGGTCCTGAATCCAGCCTGAAGCCGGAGTGGGACGAGTGCAGCTGTCACAGTGCGCTTTCATACACAGGGAATATGGGGGCGCCGGCGCCCACCCCAAACACCCCCACTCTGCTCATTCACTTCCACCCCACGTCACAGAAAGCAAGCGGGTGGAGAAATCTGCGCTCAATCAAACTATTCAC